AACAACGGCCCCGACAGACAACAGGGGACCGACCCCTCCTGGCCCAACCTCGGTGAGGATGCTTTGGGTAAAAAGAGTGTAGTGGGCACGAGCGGCGGTAAAAATGTCACTGGAAAGTTTACCGCGCTGGTGCACACTATCGTGCCGCCCGGTGGGATCCTCTCCGGTGCCTTCAACATGGCGAGCTGTGCGATCGGGGCCGGCATTCTCGGCCTTCCCGGAGCCACGAACAACTCTGGCCTTCTTCCAGCTATATTTCTCCTCTCCATCATGACCTTTTTTACGATATTTTCATTTTATATTATGGGAATCGCGGTATGTAAAACGAACATTCGATCCTTTGAGGGCATGGCGCGTTGGCTTTTCCCTAAAGGCCATTACGCCTTTTCCTACTGGGCAGCCTTTATTCGTTTTTTTAACGGATTATCAGCATGCATAGCGTACGTGCTTTGTGTGGGAGATAGCTTTCGCCCGATCTTCAAAGAGGCGCATAGGCGCAATCCTGACAACGGTCTCATCAGCTTCTTCAATACGACTGTAGGCAATCGCATACTCACGATTTTTATTTGGCTCTGCGGTATGTTACCACTGACGATTCCGAAGCACATTGACTCCTTACGCTACGCTTCGACCTTCGCAGTCACTTTCTTAATATACTTTTCCATCGTTGTATTTGCTCACAGCTGTACGCACGGACTAAAGGATTTCCCAAGCCATGTGAAAATATCTGATCTAGATGGGGATGCAAACAGTAGCGAAAGAACCATTTACCTTTTCCGAACTGGAAACATTCTACTGAGCAGCATCGGTGTGTTCATGTTTGCCTACACTTGTCAAACTGTCGCGTACGAAATTTGGTGGGATATGCGGCCTGAAGTACGTACGCCACGCAACTTCCTGTGGTCTGCTTCAATAGGATTGATAATTACTACTATTATTTACTTCTTTACTTCCTTTTTCGGGTACGTTGACTTCGGCAGCACCATCGGCTCGAGATCTATCCTACTGATGTACAACCCTATCAATGAACCCCAAGTAATGATTGCGTATATTGGCATTATATTCAAGTTATCTGTATCCTATGCTCTGAAAGGCTCAACAGCGCGTAATTCATTTTACTACCTCATTGGATGGCAGAAGCGATTCGCCAATAAAGCTTCTGTGCCACCGGTGTATCGTGAAACTGAGGCTTCTGAGAATTCAACAGCGCACCACACACAGGATGAGGAAAACGAACACGTTCCCACAGGTGAGATTTCCCCCATTAATACGGAAGAGGACACCACGTACATTGACAACATTCCCTACCTGTGGCACGTAATTGTTGTTCTGATATTCTCTTCTGTGACACTCCTTTTCGGCTTATTCATTCCTAAAATCAACACCGTATTTGGTTTCTCTGGGTCTGTGACAGGCAGCTTTCTTAGTTTTATCTTCCCTGCGTTATTCTACATGTACTCTGGAGGTTTCTCTGTGGAGCGGGAGGGAAGATTCAACTACTACGTCACTTATCTGCTTCTCATATGTGGTGTAATTGGTATTGTTTTCGGCCTAGTTGGCGCTATTTATGTTTCATTGTAATCGACAGGTTGACCAAGGAGGGCGTGTTCTGGAGGCCAGTCTTAAAGTTGGAATTACATTCCAACTACTAGTATTTCCACTTAATAGATAAAATAAGAATAGAAGCTAATAAATAATTTAGATCGTTTATATTTTGTTCCCTTACCCATTATTTTTGGAATATGCATCTCCAAAGCGAAAATTTGCATTTGTATTATTTTAATTTTAATAAAGATATATATATA